AGAGACCTAGCCTGTTATGTCCGCGCTACCTAGGTACCTAACTAACAAGCGAATCCAATTAATTTTATCCATTATAATTATCAAATTTAATTTTGAAATTTGTCACTGAATCAGCTTCAACAATACTGGCTGGTAAGGCGTTCCACGTCTCGAAAACTCTGTTGGAAATAAAATGTTGCCTCACTGTGGAGCGTAATTTATGCTTCACTAGTTTAAAACAATGCCCTCTAGTTCTACTAAGTGTAGGTATATTATTCAGGGGAAACAAATGCCTGATGGGAGATTGCGGATCTTTAAGCGCCCCAAAAGTTAAAATTAGGTCACCTCTCTTAAGTCTATTGCAAAGCGTTGGAAGACCCATCATTGCAAGTCTTGTCAGCATACTGTGGACAAATTCGACCAAATGGAATTCTTGTCGCCCTTCTTTGCAAAGATTCGAATAACTCTATATCCCGTTGAAGAATCGGAGACCAGATGTAATTGGCAAACTCAAGTACTGGCTTGACATAACTCTTATAGAGCTTGCCAATGATAGATATATGACTTCTCGCAAATGCTTTCCCCAACAAATACACCATTTTGTTCGACTTTCTAGTAGTACTCAGGACATGTTCGGATTCGAACCAAGAAAGATTGGACGTGACAAGTACCCCTAAGATATTGTCTCAAAAACAAAATCCAAGATGGCAAACAATAGTGATAGAACGTGTAAAGTGTGTAAAAGAAAAGCAAACAGTGGGCCCATTTGTATTAAATGTGGCTCGGGTTTTCATCCAAGTTTGTGCCGGTCGTGCAAAGTTTTGTTGTGATTTTCTTCTTGAGGAAAAGAACGACGGTATTGAGTGTTGTGAAGTCAACAAAGGTAACGTTATGCTGTTTAAATCTTTTATTTTGGAATTAAGAAAGAACAACAGGCTACTGGAGGATAAAGTAGAATATTTGGAAGATCAGTTAGCCGTTAAAGATGAGGAAATCTGTCAGTTTAAGAAAACATCTTATAATCCTATAAGAACTGTATTGTCAAATAATACACAAAAACACGAGAATTATCCGTTATCAATACCTCAAATAACATCGCTGTCCGTAGGAATATCAGACAACCAGCAATACACTAGTTTCTCTGATAAGTAGAGCTGTGCGGTCGAAATTTATTTACCCCCACTATCGGCCCACAGTGCCGATCGCTACAGCCTTGCCTTGTTCGCTTCTCGCTTTTCAGTCGTGGATTATTTTTGATAATTCACACAAATAGTTTTATTGTCAACGAGACGGACACCTGAACATTATTAAAATTATGATTACTCTTATTTCGTGAATATGGATTTTAAAATCATCAACTGACATGCCGTTAACATTATTTTTCGCGTAATTTTCTTCGCGATACATAACGTCGGTTGCAAGCCTCTGGCCTGCCGGAGTGAGGGTCAATTCGCAGCGTTTAAATTTCAACCGCACAGCTCTACTGATAAGGTTCTTGGAAAACCTGAAGGTCTTGCATCGTTGGATAAACTCAATGTTGTAGGTTCGTCTGTTCCCCCATTTAAGCCAAAAAGTGGAAGTACCACATCATTGTTTGAGGAAGAATTAAAAGAACAAAGCCGGATTATGAATCAAATTATTAACTTAGATGTGCCAAGAGAACAAGAGCATATAAAATCGCCTATAAGCAGTGTCAATGCTGAAACCAATACAGGAAATCATGAAAATGATGGATTTAAAGACCCTGACAGAATTTATAGTGGTTCGTCGCAACTTTTGGTTGAATTGCTAGTAAATAGTCACTTAAATCAGATGATTAAACCAGGAGCCCTCTACTCTAGACTTAATAAACTCCTCCGACAGTAGTTCTCTTGCCAACTTAGAATACCTCGACCTCATTGGTAAGTCGGATCATCTAACCCTAACAGCGGACCTTCAAATTTGCTGTATGCCTCAAAAGAAGACTGCCTCAGTAAGAGGACAGCAACAGATTATAGAGCAATAAATCAAAATTTAAAGGAGATGGCTTTGGTGTTTATGTTGAATAACATAACAGGCCTTGGCCTCTGCCCGATCGCTTAAATAATAAAAATTATTATTAGTATTACATTTTATCAATAACAACCATACAAAACTCGATTCGCAAAAGTACATCGGTGGAATAAAATCTTCTACAAACAACAAATCTCATGATTCTAAAAGGGACTAGAAATACGAAAAGACCACAACCCACTTATGGATGATAAACACTTGCCACAAGTTCCGATCACTGATGACGAAAGAATGATTTTCCGCAAAACAATATCTGTTTCATTATGACAATATGCTCCTCAATAATTTAAATTTTTACTTGAAATAACTTTTTGATCTTAAATTGTAAATAAATACTATTATTATTATCAATAATATTGCTGACATTTTGACAAAAGTGTTGAAAGGTTTAGTAAAATTTCGCATTCTAGTGGTAATATCGGTCGAAAACACATTAAATATTGGCGTTATTTGGCAATGTCTTGCATACATTTATCACTAATATATAGGTGGTACCTACACGTAGCCGGGTCACTACAAGGTTGGAGGTAGTGTGATAATTTTTGTGGGGAGTGTATTTGGAACCATCATGGTAAAGTAGAAATAATGTAAAAATAATGATTGGAGCTTTATTAAATAAAAACATAAAATATAAAAAAACTTTATAACAGTAACAATTTTAACGACAACGTAAATTTATTAAAATGAAAATTTCTTTGTTATTATTTATAAACGGAAAAAATTGTTTATAACTAATTAAAAGGTTTTTTAATTTTATTTTCTGTAGCAAATTATTATACCGTAATATTTGCAACACTGTGTTCCAAACATTGTCATCTACGTCAGTTTATAACAGTGTCCAAAAATCATCACTGTTGCCATTGTTATCAATATCATATATTATTATATATTTAAAGAAATAAATACTTACTATTATCCACTGACGAAATTTTATCTTTCAGGTCTAAAACTTAATTTGGCAAAAAAATTAAATTAAAACAAAGAACCGTACAATTTTAGTCTTTCTATTCCTCCTAAAATACCTGTCAAAACTCACGCATATCTAGCAGTTTGAAGCAATTTACTATGAACTCTTAAAATCTAATTATAATTAGGTAGTAACGGTTTAAGTAAGATGATTCCATTCGGATTATCCTGCATATAATAGATTCCTTATTATCCTTAAGTTGAACAAGTTATTATGCGGACTTCTTCCTTCAATTGTCCTTATCGAAAACCAGATTTTCAACGAATGCACATTTCTTTTTTTTTTTATTGTTTTTGGGATATTTATTCATGAATTTCGGAAATTCATAAGCTTCTTTTTCCTAACAATCTAATGTGTTTAGTAGCAGCAATTTTTGAATTTCGTTTTAGTCACAATGACATTTTTAAAAATAAAATATCTGGATTCCCTATGCAAAGTCAAATTTTTTTTTAACAAAATGTAGATATTTCTCACTTATTTTTCTCAAGACATTTGCTTAACAAACGAAGGAAGTGATCCTTTTCTGCATTATACAGGCTATCGCATCGCTTCTGATAAAATTTTGCAAGTCCCAATATTTTAGTCCTGATGACTAGTAAGTTTCCTTAAAGTTAATAGTTTTTCTTCAGATTATCATAATACTATTTAAGTCTAGTAGAAAGGCATCAGTGCAATAAGTTAGTCGATAATTCCCGCTAAATATATATGTTTATTCTATTTTAGAATCATAATCTTGTTTATAAGCACCCAAATGCGGGCATAAATTGGCCTTTACGTCACAAATCAGTCAGAAATTGCTAACCACGATTGGTTGTCTATATACATTAATTATTTATTCAAAGAAGCTTCGATATTCAACATTTTTATTAAAAGTTGGAAAAATAATATGTCATCAAGTCATTCCCTGTCCGACTACAAATTCTTTTAAAATTTGATTTTGCCTTTTCTGCTTATTCAGTTTGCATTTTTAAAATCGAATTATTTAACAAATAAACAATGTGGTATGTACCACAGGGGCGGCTGGTGCCAGGGCACGTGCCCCCCCAAAATTAGAACGTCTACAAACACACTGGACATAGCAAAATAGTAATTTTCAATATTTAAAAAATTATCCGGAAATTTGTGTCATAATTATCAAAACTAATTTTTTTATCTCGCTTCACTTGTATAAAATGTATCAAAACTTACTTCCACTTGCATCTAAAGATGTGTCTTGGATACATGATATGTTATTTCTGATGAAATTCTGATAAAAGCCCGGCACAGAGACCGAATGGACCGAATGATGGCTGATTTAGATGCTTTGTTTACACCGTTGCAATGGAAACTACACGTCGTAGGCGCCTGATATGCGCCTGATACAACTGGATGGTGAGCCCGTTGCGACCGTGCTCTGGAGGACTGAGTTACTATCGAGGGTTTTAATTTTCATTCTGCGCGAACACGTGTGATAAATATTCTTGGATAATCTTCTCGGTAATACAGACATTCGGAAACAACTACACACCGCTTATATTAATAATATTCGGGCACATAACGCAAGGGTCGACAAAAATCCCCATATATTACTCCGATTAATAATGTGCATACAATTTTGTGGAGTGTTTGAATTTGCTTTACGTGGACATGGCGAAAGTAGGGAATCACAAAATCCAGGTACATTTCGAGGTCTGATTGATTTTATGGCTGAATTGGACTTTATCAGATCATTTGAAAGAAGCAACGGTTTTTAAAGGTGTGCGGCCGTGCCTGAGAGCCCCCAGAACCCGGAATAATAACACTTAGGGGTAGCTGCTTTTTATTCTCACTCCTAACTGTCTAACCTCTCTTTTCACAATCCCCAGCGCGCACTCGCTTAGTGCCCGCGCTGCCAACTTAACATATCAAGCATCCCTACATCCCCCCTCTTTTGTATTATTCTTTACTTTAAACTAGATTTGCAAAACTAAGATATAACTATTAAAATAACACGTATCTAAATAATATAATACTAGAAAGTGGTTTAATTTATCACAAAATCTTTAAATCTGCCTGGTGGTTTTTTTGTGCGGTTTGGTCTCGCAGAGACGGGAGGTGTTGGCGTTTTTGGTTGTTTGTTGGTTGGTGAAGACATGATCTCTGGCTCAGAATTTCTTGGGGGATTTTCACCCAGCTCTGGTAGTTTTTGCAAGTGTTGTCGGTTTCTTCTGACCTGGCCATGAGGAGTCTTTACCCAGTATGATCTTGGTGTTTCATCTGGCGTCTGCACCATTCCCTCTTCTTTTCGATGAATAAGCCACACTCGATCACCAGCCTTCAGCTCCGCATTATCTTTCGTGCGATGCCGTCTATCGTAGTGATGTTTTTGTCGTTGTTTTTCTGCCTCCATTTCTCTCCTAATTGCTTGATGGTTTGGCAGCTTTGGTACCAATCTTCTGCTTATTGCTGGCACCCTGTCCCGTAACTGCCTGCCAAACAACAGCTGGGCTGGGGAGGCTCCGCAGGATAAGGGAGTATTTCTGTAGGCCAGCATGCCCAGAAATGGATCCTCGTTCTTCTTCAAGATGGTTTTCAATAGTTTGACTGCACTTTCTGCTTGTCCATTACTCTGCTGGAATTCCGGGCTGCTGCTCACCCATCGAAATCCGTAGTCCTTGGCAAAAGTTCTGAACTCGAGGCTGTCGAACTGTTTACCGTTATCGCTTCTTAATTCTTCCGGAATTCCATGGTGCGAGAATATGTCCTTGAGATATTCTATTGTTTCTAAGCTAGTCAGTTTTTTCAGCTTGCGAATTTCAGGGTATTTCGAGTAATAGTCCTGCACCACTAGGTAATTCTTTCCATTGTAGTAGGCGAGGTCCGCACCTAGGACTTTCCACGGACGGGATGGTACTGTGGAAGGGATCATCGGCTCGACTACAGGCTGGCGGTGCTTGATACAAGTCTCGCAGTTTTCAACCATATCCTTCAGATGTCGGCGTATTTCAGGCCACCAAACTGTTGTCTTCGCTTTTTCCAGACATTTGGGCGTGCCCAGGTGTCCATCGTGTAGTACTCGCAAACATTGCTTGCGGAGGGCCCTGGGAATTACTAAGCGATCTCTATAACAGATTAGGTTATTGTGGATTTTTAATTCGTTACGAAATTTAAAGTATGGTGTCACGGCAGTAGGTGGTTTTCCTGGCCATGTTTCTACTACAAATTTCTTCAATAGTTGCATTTCTTGATCTTCCTCCTGATGTTTCCGTACCACCTCTTCTGAGCAGGAACTCGATGATAGTTCTGTCAACACTGCGTTGATATATATTTCCTGGTCCTTAAGCGCTGAATCGCCGTCGCGGACGCCTTCGTGTAGAGGTGCGCGAGATAACGCGTCGGGTACATGGAATGTTTTTCCCGGGACGTATTGCACATCATAATTAAACTTTAACAACCGCATTCTTAGTCTTTGTAATCGGTTGGAGAGTTTATTAATTTCTTTCGTCGTTAATATCACTAACAGCGGTTTGTGGTCCGTTAGCACTAAAAAACGCGATCCTATGAGAAATTGCTCTAACCGTTCGCATGCCCACGTGGCTGCGAGTGCTTCTTTTTCGATCTGAGCATACCGTTGCTCCGCGTCACTTAAGGTTTTGGAACAAAAGTACACTGGTTTCCAGTTGTCGTCATTTAGCTGTTGTTCCAACACAGCTCCAATTCCAAATGCTGAGGCGTCGGCTGCGACTCGTGTTGGTTTGTCGACGTCATATTTAGCTAATACGGGAGCTGATGCTATAGTTTCCTTTAAATTCTGGAATTCTTCCTCGTGTTTTTCTGTCCATACAAATGACGTGCTGTTTTTTATCGTCTCTCGTAGATACTTGGTTTTCTCGGCAACATTGCTAATAAATTTCGCGACATAATTTACCATACCAAGAAATCGTTTGACTTCTGTTGGGTTGTTGGGTGCTGGATAGTCACGAATAGCTGCTATGCTTTTTGGGTCAATTTTGATACCTTCCGCTCCAACAACATATCCCAAGTAAGAGGTTTCTGATTTGTTGAATTCACATTTGTCTTTGTTGAGCGTTAAACCGTGTTTCTTCACTACTGTTAGCACTTTGTCCAAATTTTCATTGTGTTCTTGACTGTTTCTGCCCGTGACTAGAATATCGTCAGCATGCACGTGTATCCAGTCAGACTGAAGTTCTTGTATTATTCCATACAGTGTTTTTTGAAATATTTCTGGAGCCGATGTTATACCGAAAGGTATTCTTCGATACATGTATCTTCCAAAAGGTGTTATGAACGCGGTGTATTTTCGTGATTCCGGTGTAATTTCCAGTTGCCAAAACCCGGAAGAGAAATCTAATTTCGAAAATAACTTGGCTTCCCTCAATTTGGCAAGCGTTTCGTCCACTGATGGGAGCTGATACCGTTCGCGTCTCACGAACTGATTTAATTGCGTAAAGTCTGCACACACACGTACTTTACCGTTTTTCTTTTGTGCTACCACCATAGGTGCACACCACTCTGTTGGACTGTCCACACGTTCGATCACTTTTTGTGTCACCATTTTGTTTATTTCTTTTTCCACTTGCTTCACTAACGGAAGGGGTATTCTCCTGGGTGTCGCAATGGAGAATGAAACTGCGCCCTCTTCGACACAGATCTTATGCTAAAAGTTGTGTAACTTCCCCAAACCTTTGAATACTTCAGGCCATTTTGCGAGAATTTCTTCTTTGGTTGATCGCTTATTTTCTAGCCTCACTTGATCGATCATTTTTATCTCGTTTCCCAACCGCTGTACGATCTGTAGTTTCAGCAAAGCTGGTTCTCCCAGAAGGTTTTCGTTCGTGTCAGCGACGTAGGCTTTAATGACTTCTTGTCTCCCACCTATTTCTAAGGGAATTTTTATTTTTCCCAGCACGGGACATCTGTTTTGGCCCAAACCTGCTAATACTGTTCGAGTAGGTTTCAATCTGTAATGATTTTTTAATTTCTCTTCATAGTCTTTTGAGGTTATGACCGATTCCTCAGCCCCTGTGTCAAGTTTAAAGACTAATTTTATTTCACCACAGTTGAGAGTCATGCGAAACCGGCTGGATCGCTGCACTCTGTCCACCTTAATAACTCGATAAAGCTCGTAGTCACTGTTGTCAGTGCTACTTTGATCTGCTTGTACATTTTCATTAATTCGTTTCGTTCGGCACTCAGACCCATAGTGACCAATCAGTCGACATTTTCTGCATTTTTGGTTGTTGGCTGGACATTCTGTTCTGGGATGGCTTGGTTCTTTACCACAGCGCATACATTTGTTTCTGTTTTTCTTTTTTTCTGGTCGATTCCTTTGTTCTCGACTACTTTTCTGCTTTTGTGGCTTTTTGTTCTTGACAGCGCCTATATGCACCCCCTCTCTGAGCTCTTGGTTTTCTGTTTTGATCGTCTCAGCTTGCATAATTTTATTTACCGTCATTTCTAGGGTTAATTTTTCAGTCAATTGTAGTGACTAGGATAATTTTTGATCCCGTATGCCCACTACAAGTCGGTCACGAACCAATTCGTCCTCTAACTGTCCGTATTTACAGTCTTTACCTAGAGCAACAATGGCAGTAATATATTCTTGTGCGGACTCACCTTCTTTTTGGTTTCTCCGATTGAACTTGGCTCTTGCATAAATTATATTTGTAGTTCCAACAAAGTAGCCAGTAAAAAATTGTTTCGCCTCTGCGTACGTGTCGAATGAATACTCGTCTTTCTTTTTCGTTTCGAGAATCTTCGTGACTTTCTGGCCCATGTGGAGCAAAAGACTATTTATTTGTACTTTCTCGTCTGCTGTGTCCAACTTTGTCGTTATTCTGTAGCGTTCATAATGCGTTAGCCATGCCGTCCATTCGTTTTTGTCGAAACTAAATGCTTCGGGAGCCGGCACTGAATTAATTACGCTTGGTTTTGCAGTTGAGTGCAGATTCTGGAGCATTTGTTGTAGGACGTTCAGTTGTTGGCGTAGGTCAGCGATTTCCTGCTTATCGTCGCCGTTGTCCGTCATTTTGTGGATTTTCTTGTTTGTTTCTTTTTCGAACTTATCCGTTGGTTGTTTTCACACCTGACACCATGTGCGGCCGTGCCTGATGAGAGCCCCCAGAACCCGGAATAATAACACTTAGGGGTAGCTGCTTTTTATTCTCACTCCTAACTGTCTAACCTCTCTTTTCACAATCCCCAGCGCGCACTCGCTTAGTGCCCGCGCTGCCAACTTAACATATCAAGCATCCCTACAAAAGGAATGCCTAAAACTGTCCAAAATCAACTTTTAGATGCCATGCACATCGAAGGCAAAAAGGTATGTCGAGAAATCCTTTTTTATTTTTATTGAATGTATTTTTGCATTTATTTCCGTCACACAATTTCGTCTAACAACACTAGTCAACAATCGAAATACTCCTTTAATAAAAATGTATGCACTAATTGCAGTTTTTTATGTAGATTTCAAATCTGCTCTCCAAATTTTTCCATCACGTCACGTTTTTGTGCTACACGTAATTTTCTATCGTAAAATTGCCATTTTTCACATAAAACGTGCATCTGTACTGCCCTTATTACACGAGTTGGAAAAATCGGATTTGATGATTTAGTAAAGTAGGCATGTGTCACATTTAGAAGTTACGTGCAAATTCTTGTTGTGTGTAATTTTGCAAAATGAGTGTAATACTAAAAAAAGATCGCACTTACAATTGGTTTCACAAAAAACGGGACAAGATGAGTAAATCAGGTGCTCATAGATCGAAAAGCAATAGGAATATGACGTTTATGCCACTGTCATTTTTCTCGTTTTTTTTTTTTAAACCAAATGTACATGTGTAAGAACAACCCTAATGTAATTTGTTACATCTGTGGTCAATATGCTATAAAATGTCAACGTCTGCATATATCGCATATTGTTAAATTGATATATCACCAATATTTGGGTTTCGAAGTAAGGGATCAGGAAAAACAATGGGAGATTATTGTTGGTTCCTGCAAAGGGAGTATTCATCGAATTGTTACAGTCGTCAAGCAAAAAGAAAACGATTTTAAACATTTAAAACTAATTAAAACCATTTATTCAAATCCTTATAAATAAGATTTGCTAATTATTTCATGAAAATTATTATTATTATTCAAGGTATTATTTTTTTGAAAAGTGTTAAAATCGTGTTTTTTCGTATTTCGGACCCCAATAAAAATTAAACTAGACGTGCACAAATGGCAAAAATCATTTTTATAGAAGTTTTAGGATACAAGGAAGTCATTTATGCCCAAAAGACGAAAAGCGTATGAGTTCGATTTTTTTTTGTAGACCTGTGCAATTGGTAATAGCAACCTGTTTCATATCTTCATATTTAACTCATCAATCAAATTGTGTCCCCCAATTTCAAAAGGTCACCAGCCGCCACTGATGTACCACAGGCACAATTGTCGATTCAGGAAATAAAAAGCTCCTTTCGTCGTACTTTAAACATTCCCTCGTGCCATAATCTCCCTAATTGTGCCCTTAATGCATAAGTAACTATTATCTACTTAAAAACCACTTGATCAACCCACCATTGTGCAAAATTGCTGTATACAAGTTAAAACAGCTCGTAATTGACAAATGGCTTAAAATTACAAAATATTTTCATAATTACGAAAAAATAATTATATACCATTAGTAATGCGGAAAAAGAGCAAAATGTAGGCGGATTGATAAAGAGAAGGAAACTTAAAATTCACTACGAACATTTCAAATTAGTATCAAGAAAAATGGAAACGTCCATTTTCTAGTTCCACAACTGATTGGTGCACTTATACAAATGAGAAAAGAGAACACTTTTGTTGCTGACAGTGCAAATAACGGTTTCCGGTATTTTCACCAATGTGAGAAGAATTAAATATTCTTCCGCATTTTCGTCAAAAGAATTTTCATTGCTAAATTACAAGCGAAAAGTAAGTAAATCGTCTTAAAGCTGTTGGGAAAAATACTTATTGTTCAAATGCAATATTCGACATTACTGCCGAAAAAGAATAAATCGTTTTAAAAACCTATAAAATAAAAAAAATTATAGGAGTGTCACATTTATAAGATATCTTTGTGTAGTAACTATTTACCTTCACTTGAAACTCATAATTCATTGAAATGTCTTGTGTTAAATCTAGTTTAAGTGGTACTAGGCTACAACTCATCAGAGTGAGAAGCAGTTGTTGATTTGCTTTGTTAAAGTAAACCCATTTGCAAAAGTAAAGTTCTGAAAACCATTTGTCGCACTAAAACAATGAATTAAGTGAACTTATTCCATAACGATAAGAAAGTGCATACCGTAGTTTCTAAATCCTGACAAGAAGTGAAGAAACTTATTGAAGCGAAACCAACATCCACAGCAAAAATTATTAGTCGCGGGAAAATATTTTCTATATACTGTCCCTTAAAAAAATTAAAATTTATTATCAAGGTAAAAAGAGTAAGTAATTACATAAAAGTGATTCTCACTTACATTGTAGTAACAGATTATTCCACCAAGACAAATAACAATTTCTCCTAATGCTAGCAATGGAATTAGACCAACCGTTCCCTTTTTAAACACATAATAAACACTGAAATTTCAAATACAATCCTAAATAACACAAAAAAGACAACTTACTCTCTTATAGACATATATTTCTCGGCTATAAACAACAACCTGTGTTTCATAGTCCTCTGAAACTGTTCGGAGTACAATAACTCTTCTTCGTTATATTCATCAAAGTCACGATTTAAATATTTAATATGGTCTAGAAGCAAGTAAATTTGAAACTTGACATGTTGCGTGTAGTAGACTGTCGTTAAACATAAATATGTGATAGCGTAGAATAGAATTACACACGAACACAAATAAATAAATTCTAAAGTTCCATAAGAATTTGAAAATGTTTGCTGTGCATATATTAACATGTAGTGAAGTTCCTTTTCCTCTCCCCTTGGTATAATTATTAGGCAAGAGATGGCATGCCAGATGCAACTACAGATCGTAAATATTTTTATCACTTTTGTTTCTTTCAAGATTTGATTTTGTGTGGATTCTGTGGCCGAGTCCGTGGACCACAAAACTTGAAAGAGGTGGGATTTAGCGAATACACTTAGTCTCGATTCAATTACGAACATAGCACAGTTATATATTAGAAGCTAAAAGAAACATTTGGTAAACATGGATATTGGAATGATTTGCACGTAATACTAACTCCTGGTATTGCAAACATGAGCATTATATATTTTGAAGATGTCGAATCAAAATCAGCAACACAGTGCCATATAGTCATTAATAATGATAGAGTATGCAACAATACCGAAGTTAGAATGATTATTTTTATGTATTTATTTCCAAATATGTCTAGTGTTATGCATCTTATAAAATGCAGACAGTCATCTACAACGAAAAGCGTGTGTAAGCTTCTTGTCAGATCAATATCAATTTCCCCGACAATACATTGACTGTACTGCAACCTCAAATAAAATTTACGTACCTTTCATCAGCTTTATGTTCTTGAAATACATCGTTTACTACTAACTAAAATAATTACGTCGCAGTAAAAGTAATAAATGTTTCATTAATTATTATTATATTATTCAAACCAAGAAACATTAATTTCGAAGGTTGAATTTTGGTAAATGCGCATAGCTTCTGTCCTAATTACTGTTATCGAATTACGTAGTATTAGTAATTCATCTAATCTTCTTCAGTCATTATGTTTTATAAATACTCAATAGCCAAATTAAAGGGCTAAGAATGACGTGGTACAATTCTGTCAACACAACAAAATTAGTCGACCTTCACAATAAAGATGGGTGTAAGAGTAAACGTCCGCTAAGGTCCCGAACTGTCATTTTTTGGACATATTAGGTCAGTATGCAAATCTCATCGGTAAATTTTACATTTCTCAATCCCAATGTGTACAAACTTTTGGATTATTGTCACAGTAAAGGACGTGCTTGCGATGAAATATCTTCTGAAACGCAGAAAGCTAGAGATAACTGAGTTCCAGGGGTTTCATAAACACGGTAGTAACCTTAGATCATATAATAAATAGATACCAATACTCAAACTGAAAGCTGTAACTAGACATGAAGCTATCTGTTGTCGTTTTCTACGTCAAGGGGAGTAGTATAATGCTATCCTTGTGTGATCACCACATCTTCATCTTTGTTATATGCATTTCGTCTGTATGTCTATTTCACTTCCATCCTTGTACCGCACCAACGCAACAAATCGCTTTTGACAGATGTTTCTTCTAACCTCTCTTTCGAGTTGTTGTACAAAAAACAATTTTAGAATTTAGAACAAAGATCCTATTTTAAGTGATGTAATCACAAAGGATCACAATTGCTGCCCAATAATTTACTATTCTTTTCGTTATCTACAATGAATTATTTACAAAATCAAGCTGTCAAGATCTTTCGTACGAAGTTAATTCAGACCATGGCCGACTAGTATAAAGATTATGGCCTGTCCAAGAGGTACGATACGTGTTGCCATCTGTTAATAATTACACTTAATAATTTAGCAAAATTTTAATTTGACTTGACATTATGGGACTTCAAAACGTGTAATGGTGGTTTGTTTGGGTATGAATGCCTTTGTGCCTTTCAAAAGGTGTTAATAATTCTTTTGTCGATTTTGAATTATTAATAGATGGCAGCACGTATGGTACCTTTGGCATTGCTTTGGACAGGCCATAATCTTTATACTAGTCGGCCATGGTTCAGACATACTTCCTAAAATTTAGGCGCGCAAAATTCAAATAGTGATCAGGCAAGGATAGCTTCATTGTAATCCCTCCATGCACAAGAGAGATGTGTGACAGGAGGATGTCGTCACAGGCTCTCCTAGGGAAAGAACACGGCATGGTGGTATCTATTTATTATATGATCTAAGGTAGTGACAAAATATGTACACTCAAAATTTGACAGCAACAATCATGAGCAGACAAACAAACAGAAAACGAAAGCTGGAGACCAGTTATTTCATATTTGTGAAGTCGAGAAAACATTAAATTGGTCATTCATCAAACGGAAGCTTGTATAGTACTTCTTAAACTTAACTTTAGAAATGAGTAGAGCATTTACTTATTTGAAGGACATACCAACGGTCCTAATGCTGTTATTAAAACAACATTAGGAATTCATTATTGTCTACGCATTTCTTCTAAAATCTTCATTTTCCATACAGAAGCGACAGGAACGACGAAAGAACCATCAGTTTGTAATTCATTCTTGAATCGGCACAAATTTATTTTTTACAAAAACTTTCGCCAAAATATATCGTTTTTAAGAGTGTGGAGTGGACACAAAATGATATTTTAGGTTATATGATTGGTTGTCCGAAACACGCATATGCCAAAATTGTTGTCAAATTTATCATGAACGTTCGTCTCGAAAGATTTTCCAGTTTCCTAAAAAAAATTGCAGAAATCCACTTGACTGGGGTTTTTTATAATTTGTCATTTTTGAAGTAAAAGGTCAAACATTGAAAATATTTTCTGAAAACGCACTGCAGTCTAATTAATTGTAATAACAGCGCAAACGATGGATATCGTTTATATAATTTTTCCTCATGTAAGAAGACCATTGCATTTTGGAAGGAAAGTTTGAGGCGTCCAAATTGGAACATTGGTTCTACCTTAAAAATTTGTGAAGTGCTTACTTTTATAAAATCCTTTCTTCTATATTTTTAAAACTATATTTTAAGGTGCACTTTGATCAAGAATATTTCGTCTACGACTTAAAACTTAAAAGAAAACGTTTTACCTATTTATTTTCATGTTCAAGATTTTAAAGATAATGCACCATTTAAAATTGTTAATCCGGAACAAACAATTAATGAACAACATATCAAAATTCGAAATTTAATAGCCACAGAAATAGAATTATTAGCGCAAATTGAGTGTTTCGAAAGAACTACCAAAATTTGTGGCAGCAGAAAGAAGACTGAATTTGTTGTTAAAAGAAAAAATTAACGGTTTTAAAAAATTAAAAATTAAAGACAGACTGGTGATTGCAAGTAAATTTGGAGTGAACAAAGAATTAAGTAATTAATTACAAATGCACTTAAATAAAAAAAAAATGAGGAGGTGGAGCCTCGGGACTGTAGAAAAAGCACTGTGCATTCAATTTCCTTGTGGTTCTTCAGGTTATGACTCTTTATTAAAATTAAACTATTTGTTGACATCTTTGCGTACATTACGTCGGAAAACGGAGCATATCAAATTCTACCCAGATATATTGCACGAAATTTTCAATTTAAAAGTTAAAAATTTTAAAGACTATGAAAAAGTCTGTTGTTTATATTTAGATGAGACGCCTTTAACGTCTGGAAAGCAATAGCACAGCTTCCTCTATCATACTAGGATATGAAACCCTGGAAAACTTTTCAGCGAGAGCCTCTCATTCCTTAGTTATCAATGTTATCATGATAAGTCAAATATTTCACTTTACATGAAATTGCACAAGTGGATACTCATTGCGAGACCACATTAAAGAATTAATAAATTTTAGCCACCGAAATATTAGGTCTGCGTTGATAAATAACAAAAGTATGATAATTCCGGACGAATTTGTTGATAAATATGCATTACCAAGCAATGAGGTTAACATTAAATACATTGAGGACTTTGCGGAATTTCAAGAAAACTTCGAAATAAAATTAGCACCAAAATTAAGTAGTGATTTGTACAATCTGAATAATTTTAACAAAATGAAAGTTTCTTTGGCATGTATTTTAATAAATTTTGATGTAAGTGCCGAGCTCGAATTTTTGTATAACACAAACGCAGTTATTGTTGACCGTAATGCTTATACTACTGCTTGGTCTATCAAAATTTTAAGTAAATGGTTCCGTATCATGTCGTCCCGATGTGACATCTCGGCTATTAGCACATCTAATTTACATGAATACAAAAACACTTTGAAATTTTTGTAAGAAATTATTGTTATTATTATTATTTTTTTTTTTGATCCGCTCCGTTGAGGTGGGCGGATGTGATATTTAATAGCTCCGTTCTTTGATTGTCGTTATTTATATAGTAGTGTTGTATTCTACATTATTAATTGTACACCATGTCTACGTGTAGTTTGTGCAACAAAAAAGCTCGTAGTGGTGATTGTGTAACATGTGATATCTGCAGAAAATATATACACACGGAGTGTGGAGGTCTCTCCAGGTTAGAAGTTGAGTGTATTCGGTCCAGTAGCAGAAAAATACATTATTATTGTGAAAAAAACTCGGTTGTCTGTAAAGTCGGTTTACTGACGATAGTTGAACGTGACAACGTCTTAAGAAAATACTGATGGAATGGTTTTGGGCTTTTGATTTTGAAGCAGCGATTATTGGCTGCGCGAATGGCGTTGCTAAAGTAAATGCTACAGCATCTTGAACCTCCATGGGTTCACTCATTGAAGGTAAAGGCTTATTCGTAACATCCTCTGGTTTGTCAGGCTTTTTTTCCATGGTGCGTTTGTAAGCAGTTCTGCAAAATAAATCGTCGTTCGAAACAATTTAAATAAAATTCTTAAAATATTATCGTTGTCACGTCAAAACTGACACTACATTCACTTTTCACTGCACTTGATACTCGACCAAAACATGTAAATGTACTATAATATAGCAGCTGTCCACGCAGACGCATCGCTCACTCAAGTAGGAGAGAGACGGATGGCGAACGCTGCCGAACGCGAAGGCCGATTGTGCCTCTTTGTCGCTCGTTCCGCGTTCTCGCTTGCACTTCAAGCCTTACATGGAACGTGACAGTAACGGTATGAGTCATGCTTTTTCGAGCGTGCAGCCGGCTCCATCGATTTATAAGACGTTGTCACGTCAAAAATGTGATATAGTGTCCATTATTCACAACATGAAAACTGAAATTGAGGTTTTAAAAGATGAACTGGCTGAACTAAAAAAGAGTGGAAGTAATGTCGCTGACCGTGATTCGGAAAAGAAACTGTCTGATGAAGAAATAATCGCTGAAATTGAGGACAGAAATTATCGGGCTAATAATTTAATTCTATACAATATGTCTGAATCTCAGGCAGAATCATTTGCGGTCCGTAAGGAAGATGATATGTCCCGTTGTCAAAATATAGTTGTGCCCAATGGTAACAATGATAACATCAAGATACGTTCTTGTGTACGCTTGGGTAAATATAACCAAGATAAAGTGCGTCCTCTTAAGATAATTTTCTCTTTTGCCCAAGATGCAATTGATTCTTTAGTGGTTTACAGACGTAAGGATAATTTATACTTAAATCGGGATCTAACTCCACGACAACAAAACATATCTTATTTGGTCAGGACTGAATATAAACATCGTAAAGAGCAAGGTGAGTCTGATATTTATTTAAGATACAAAAATGGCATACCAAAAATTATTAAAAAAGAAGAAAAAAACGCTTAATATTCCAACAGACAAATAAATACGAAGCCCTTGCATTAAAAGAAACAAAAATATATTACCAAAATACTAGAGGGTTAAATATCAAAGTAAATCATTTTTATCCTAATGTTTTTGTCAGTAACTCTGATATATTCGCATTAACTGAAACCTGGTTGAAGGATGATGTACTAAGTTCCGAATATTTTAGTTCAATGTTTAATGTCTTCAGAGCAAATAAAAAGGGCAGAGGAAGAGGAGTTTTGTTAGCGGTTAAATCTCATCTGTCTAGTAAACAATTAAAACTAACATCGCCTGTTACGGATGCTGATTTAATTGGAGTCAAGGTGCAGTAAAATGAAAACGTCAGTTTAAATATAATAAATTTATACATTTCACCAGCTTCACCCAGTATTTGTTACGAAGAAATCTTTGAGTATTTGGAGCATGAGAGTCTTATATCTGAAAAAACCTTAATAGTATGTGACTTTAACATCCCTCAATATTATAATCAGATGATGCAAAAAGAGAATGTTGGACATTTAACAGGGTCGAATTCCACTGTGTGATTTTATTAATTTTAATGATTTACAGCAGCAGAACTTAGTAACTAATGCTAAAGGTAGACTTTTAGACTTAATCCTTTGTTCTAAGGATTTGAAATGTACTGTAATGCAGTCCAATACTCCAGTAGTTGATGAAGATGCTCACCATCCTGCGTTATCTATCATTCTACAAGTTCCTGCAGCTAATTTGAAAGAGTTGAGTTTCAACTTTTCGAGAATTAAGACCAAATATAATTTTCGTAAAGGAAATTATATAGAGCTATACAGATACCTGAATAACACAGACTGGTCTCAACTACTAGTTATTAAAGATGTCAATGTTGCTTGCGACTATTTCTATTCCATTATTTATGACCTTTTAGATAGATTTATTCCCAAGACTCCAATTAATACTACGACATATTATCCTGTTTGGTATACACCATCTATCATAGGCTATATTAAACGTAAGCGTCAATTATGGAAGAGATATAAAAAAAATAAATTTGATAGAGTATTATCACAAATTAATGATCTTAGGAGACTCATTAAGAAAGAAATCAAAGTGGCATACATCAACTTTATGGTATCGGCGGAAACGAACATCAAGCAAGATCCAAAAAATGTATGGGCATATATTAATCAAAAGAAAAATGTCTCGAGTATCCCAGGCCATGTGTTCAATAAAGGTATTGAACTAACTGATCCACAAGAAATTGTCAATCATTTCGCGATTCATTTCAGTGACGTCTTTAGTAGTGATAATATCTGTGATAGTTTCCCAGTCTGTGATAGAGAAAGTGATATAGTGAGCGTCTTACACAATTTCGTAATAAATACCTGTGATATTTTGGATGCCGTCAAAAAAGTCAGTTCTAATTTTACTATGGGTCCTGACAATGTGCCTGCTTTCCTTGTAAAAGACTGTATTTCTTGTTTATGTGAACCCCTTTGCTACTTGTTTAATTTAATTATTGCTGAGGCTGCATATCCTAATAAGTGGAAGTCTACTAAAGTTATCCCGGTCTTCAAATCTGGTGTACGTAATAACATCGAGAATTATAGGCCCATTGCAATAGTTTCAAATTTTAGTAAGATCTTTGAAAGAATTGTAGCTAATAATTTATATAGTCATGTATCTAATCAACTTAGCCCCAGTCAGCATGGCTTTATAAAAGGAAAGTCAACTTCAACAAATCTGTGTGAATACATCCAATACATATCTGATTCTCTTGAAAGTAAAAAACAAGTTGATGTTATTTACACAGATTTATCTAAAGCTTTCGATGTGGTTAATCACTCGATTTTGCTTGATAAGTTGAGCAAATTTGGCCTGTGTAGTAATTTAATAAAGTTATTTCAATCCTTTTTGTGTAATCGCATTCAGTATGTTGAGTACCGTGGTTTTCGCTCTCAAACTTATGTAACTACGAGTGGTGTAACGCAAGGGTCAAACCTTGGACCTATTTTATTTATTATATACTTCAATGACGCACTTTTAGAATTTAAGTGTCCTATCTTTGTGTACGCTGATGACCTGAAGGTGGCTAAAACTATTACCACGCTTGATGATTGTTACTCGCTTCAAAATGATCTTAATAATTTTATTATATGGTGTCACAATAATAAACAAAATATTAATGTAGCCAAATGTAAAGTAATAACCTTTTCTAGATCACCTGATACTACACAATATAAGTATGAATTAAACGATACAGAAATAGATAGAGTATTCCAAATTAAAGGCCTTGGTGTTATGGTTGATTCAAAATTGTCATTTATACCTCATTTTCAACATATTTGTGATCATGCTAATAGAATGTTAGGGTTTATTATAAGAAATACTGTCGGTTTTACCAATGTTGATTCTTTGCTTGTATTATATTATTCATTTATTCGTTCTAAACTGGAATATTCATCCGTCGTATGGGATCCATACTACAAAATTCATATATCTTCAATAGAGCGTATTCAAAGAAAATTTTGTAAACATTTGTTTTATGTTAAATTTGGCAGATATCCCGTAAGAACTTGTTCGAGCGTAATTCTTTTCAATGAATTTAATCTATACTCGTTGAAGGATAGAAGAACGGTGGCAAATATTATATTTTTACATAAGCTGATTCACGGGAAAATTTTTTCACAAAATCTGCTTGGTAATCTTAGGTTTCACATACCGCGCTTAAATTGTAGATATAGTGGAACATTTGCAATAGATTGGTGTAGAACTATTCAACATTTCTATTCGCCGATATACGAGCCCTAACAACTAAATGTTCGGACACGTATTCTTTTATACAAAAAAATGTAATTTAATGAAAAAAAAATGTATTTTACAAAAACAAAACTAGAGTAATATATAAGTAGGTATCTTTAATGCAATATTCTCAACAAAAATTGTAATATTATTAACTTAACAAAATTGTAACACAACAAGAAGCTGATATGAACGAATAAACTTGGCAACTAAATATTCGGACATGAGTATTTTTTTTTTACTTAGTATGGTGTAACATCTCCTTTTGCTTTGATTACTGCGCGTATCCTTGCAGGCATAGTACTTACAAGACTTCTGCAGTATTCAGGAGTAAAACTTGCCCAAACTTCGTCGATTTTTGCTTTTAAACCTAAGAGTGTTCGTTGGGGGTTGTTGCGCAAAACGGATTTTATGTCGTGCCAAAGTGTCTCAATGGCATTTAAGTCAGGGCTGTTCGCAGGCCATGAAAAGACTCTTATATCATGATCCCCAAACCATTTCTTAGTACTTTTTGCGGTATGACATGATGCACCGTCCTGTTGAAAAATATAATCGGATACAGTTTTTCAACAGAGGGCAACAAACTGTTTTCTAAAATTTGTTGGTATTTCATGGCGTTAATAGTCGTTTCCACCAATTCATAATTCCCCAACCCTTTAGCTGACATGCATCCCCACACCATTATTCCTTTAGGAAACTTTACAGTTCGTTTTAAACAGTCTTTATTGAACGCTTCACTTTTTGATCTTATCACTCTTCTCCGCAAATCTCCCACGCACACATCAAATTTTGACTCGTCACTAAAAATGACCTTTGGCCAGTCTTCCATGGTCCATGCCAGCTTAGACTTTGCCCAGTTGTACCTATTTTTCTTTTGATTTGCCGTTATTAAAGGTTTTTCTTTGGCCTGTAACGGCGCGGTGGAACAAATGTAAACCAAAAACTTAAAAATTACCTTATAAAAACTTAATCCTGACTTGTGAATCCATTTCCTACAACATTCTCGTGATAGCTTATGCCCTATTTCATCCGTCCATTGTACTGTTATGTCCCGCAATGTGTTTCTTCGATTTTTTTTACAAAGTTTTACAAGGAGCCTTTGACTTCTTTCTGAAACTAATTTCGGTCTTTCTGAACTTTTTCCTTTAACGTCTAGTCCACCAGTTTCGCGATAATGTGAGATTATATCCGCTACAGTGGACTTTGCTAAATTCAGTTCTTCACTAATTTCCCGAATTTTTTTACCTTGGCAATACTTCTTTACAATAAGTGCACGTAATAATTTTTCAAGTGGACGTCCACGAACTATTTTGTTAAAGAATATATATATTTTTCTATGAATCTTACAACACAGTTAGGTAAAGCAGGAAGAGGAGAATGATATTTATTAACAATCAAACAATTCACACCGCCTACTTAGTGAAAATTATTTTTTTTATTTATTTGTCCGAATAATTAGTTGCCAAAGTGAATTCACTTTTTCTGAAAAATCCACAGTCATATTTGAATTAAAATTCTATGTAAAGTAAAACATTCAACTTTTTTATTAAAAACTATTCTTTGAAATCTTAGCTTCCTATTTTTATGTGATTTGATAATAAAAATTAAAAATTAATTCATAAAGAGTGGTTTTTGAACGCTCCGATTAGTTTGTCCGAACATTTAGTTGTTAGGGCTCGTATAATATGTGCAGAAGTTACAATAACATTGCTCCACTTGCAGACATCTTTTTATATAATATCAAACATTTCACTTATCTGTGTAAAAATGCAGTTCTTACGCCACTGTAGTTGACGTTCCTGCATGTTGAGTTATATCATTTTTTAGTGATTAGTGTTTAGTTATATAATTGTTTTGCATTGATTTTTTTTTTTTTTTGTTATATGTATTTGTGTATACTTATCCGGAGTTATGTACAAGTATCCACATAGATCTTTGTCTGTTGGATAATAAATTACGATTATTATTATTATTATTATTATTATTATTTAAAAATATCAATATTGGGAAGGGGGGCTATTAGAAACCAGTAGAAACAGCTTTAATTTTGTCAACAAAAACTAATTTAGATCTTCAGGAATTCTTTTTAAACGTTAGAGGTTACAAATTTTTGTGTACGTCAAGGTTTTCACAAGATGCGTTAGAAAACGTTATTAGTCGAATAAGACTGATTAGACAAGAAATACCAAATGCACTTCAGTTTACGTCACTTCTTAAAAATTTATATGTAATTCAATGCTTCAAAAGTACCTACAGTAGGTTAAGTTATACAGTATCAAATGACCAAAATTTATTAGGAATAAGAGATTTACCAGCTTCAAATAATGCCGTTTCTTCTTCAGCCTCGACAATTTCTCTTCCTAGGGGCTCGAACAATTAGAACCAAGCATTTTGTATTGTGACCCAAAACTGTGTTTGTATAATGTTGCTGGCTATACTTTGGCAAGGACTAGACGAAATTTAAAATTTGTTCATTGTCTTCAAGCAATTGTTTCCAAAAAATTTTCTAGGCTTTATAAGAAATTCGTTTGTTTAAGAGAATTTAAAGTTAATTCATTAATACTACCAATAGAACCTGTATTTAACTTATTTTTAACTATGGATTTTTTTTTAAGTTTAAAGAAAGTAATTCCTGAACAAAATGTTTATTTAAAAACCCTGCATTCACACGAAATGAAACTTGATCACCAAATTGCAAGTTTTCAATTGCCATGTTCTCATAATATTAAATTAAAAATTTTAAAACTATTTTCTTTGTTTCGGGTTCGAATCAGGGGCGGCTCATGACTTGAAAAATTGATGAGGCACAGCACAAAACGCTCTAAAATATAAATAAATCAAGTTTACTTAAATATTTTCTATTTAGTCAAATAAACAAATTTGTAAACTCATTTAACTGTCCACAAAGAACCAACGTGAAGGTGTAAGGAGGTCTTGCAAGGAAAGGATGAGAATGACAGGACAAAAGGAAAGGGAAGCGTGGTCAGAAAAAACTAATATAACTTCTAACAAAAAACAAAATTAAAATAAACTTTAAAGGAAACATATCGAAAAAGATCAAATACAACATAAAATAAAGCTAATTTGATTTATAACAAAAAACAAAATGAAAAAAATATAAAATATAAATACGGATTTATTTAAAAATTTTTTTTATGGATCAATTAACGATTTACTCAAATCAGGAACCGGCGGTTTTAATTCCTTAACTACATACAATTTATCATCATACGTGAAAGTAGAAAAAACAGAACTGCCATTGTCATTTAACGTTAGTAGAGAAAAATTCCGATTTACTCGTAATCTTAAATAACGATTACCGAAATCAAATTATGACAAGCACAAAGCACTAACGCGACCCACGCAAACGTAGGCACTTTTAAGACAAAATTCTGTTACCGAAATTTTGAATCAATTTATACACACACAGATTTGTGGCAAAACAATCAACGGCCTAATTTTGAATACTCCTGCGAATGCAGACTGCATTGCAATCGCACGTTCCCCGCGCGCAAATAATATAGTTGTCCATCTCTTTTGCAAGCACGGAAATGAGGCTAGCCTCAATTTTGTCTTTTTTCAACTCATACCGCTTATAAGTGTATTGCAGGTTGCTTGCCTATTAACAACATGATTTCTATATATGCTGTAGAGGCAAGCTTCGAGTCGGCCTCATTCGCGTCACAAAATACATGTTGTGCCGAGTGTTTAAGCGCGCTGTTTAATTAAGGGAGCAACGAGTACCTACCGAGATAAAAATAAGAATATAATTTTCTATATTTATTTTTAAAATTTTAGAAAAAAGACACAAATTATTGGCCGAAATGTGTCCGTATAAAATAATAAAAATCCTAATAAGGCGTAAAATTCATTGGTGAGGCACTGCCTCACCTGCCTCATAGGACAAGCCGCCCCTGGTTCGAATACATCTTAAAAAAACAATGCAAAATAAGAAGGAAAATTTTAGAAGAACCGGGTACATGTAGAGAAAGTCGAAGTTTAGGTATAAGAGATATTTTGTTCTTTGACAGTTAGTTTGTAATTTTGTAATATAAATAGATTTGTCCAAATCTAGTTTTACTTCCAATAAACAAAGGAGTCGTCTAGAATCAAAACCCGTTAAATTCACTTGTAAATTTTGAATTGCAACTGTTAATTTGTTCAAAATTTAAGCTTCATGGACTGAGACGTCCGTACTTGGCACATAAAGTATCACTAATTAAACTCCTAATAAAATAAGTGTCTATTTATTAATAATTTACATATTTGTTTTATCAGTTTCAAATTAGGACAAATCCCTACCCTTGGCTCTCACACTGCGATAAATCCACAGGTTGGCATCAAAGCATTTCACATTTATAATTCACCATCTCAACAACGAAACATTTGGTGTTTGTTGTTGTTTCGACTTAAAATAATATAAATCACCTAATCAAAAATAAGAACTTTATGTTAATTGGACTTACAAATGTGTAATAGTTTTTTGAGTTTTTCTCAAAACATAGTGTGAGGAAGTTAACAGGTTTGACTCTTGATGCCTCAACTTTGATCAACGTTCAGTGAGTAGATCAAATTTTGTACACTGAGTTCTTCTATACTTTACGATTTCTCGTATTTTCTTGGGCCATTCTCAAGACATTCCCATATTTTGAAAGCAAGTTATCCTACAAAAAAGTGGCGTATAATTATTTCCAACTTTTTGAAGACTTCCTCATAAATGTAAAACATGATTTTCATAGTGATTTACCACTACATATTTAGCTGAAACCTGAAAGTTGATGTATAATTTTGTTCTTCGGTAATATAATCTACTGGTTCATCCCTTAAAATATAGAATTGGAGCTCCAATTCTATATTTTTAGCATAATTTTATGCTCAAATTCTATATTTTAAGGCATATACTCGTATCTCTTGCCAGTCATTCACCCGATTATGGGCTGAGAGGGTATATGCAGTGGT